GGAAAAAAAAAAAAACAGAAAATACAACAAATTTAAGAAACACCATAGCAGTCGAGAATTTTAAATGCCTGCAGAGAGAACATTATGGCTACCATGAAAGAAGTCACCTCAGTTATCGCTCACACTGTTCACAGTCTTTTCTACATAAAAATTCAACCAAAACATTCGAAACGATCAGTCATTCAAAGTAGTCGGAGACGATATAGTATGATCATACCATAGAAACGAACACAAATTGAAAGATACATCAAATATTAAATGTAAAAAAATTACGATAATCTCGAGAGTGAGAGCTTGGATTGATGCAGCAGGCGAGACATTTGCTCTGTTGCAGACGAAAACTTTGAAGTGCTGTGCGACGCTAACCTAAATTTCTGTTTTTATGCATAAAATGTGCGGTCCGCCATTTCCTTTCTCAATTTCTGTGTATATATGTTCGGAATTGACGCGTGGCGAGTGCTCTGCTGCGTCGCGTAGCAGAATGGTGGCTCATTTTCAGCCTAAAATCTATTTTAACTAGTACAACGGATCGGTTCGATCCACATTTAATGCAGTGTAACCTCTTTTACTACAATCCCGTTGATAACCGTAGATTATCTATATAAAATAAAATTTATATATGTATTTAATGGTGAAGAACACGGTACCATCCCGGACCTTAGAATTTTCCATTATTATTATTATTACTTATAAAGTGGTGTGGAGTATAAATTTGATAGATAACATTAGGGGGAAAAATTAACATTCGAATTATTACGTTTTGGCGTTTACTATATAATATTTTTTCGGCAAATCTCTATCTGAACAGTGTGGATTTGTCAAATTACTATCTATATCTAGGTTTAAGCTCGGTTCCACCTCATTGAAATGGAATTTTTTAGGGAAATGTAGGAATTTGGTATGCTTAAAAAAATAAAAATAAAAAGAAGAAAACCAAATGTCGAGCACTCCTGAATTCCGCACCCCTTCTCTGTCTGCTGCCTTCTCAAGAACTCGAATTTCGGGCTCAGGCACGACGAGAATTACCTCGAGCATAGATTGTTCCGGCCGAATGAATTTGTTGTTGTCGCTGCGTCGTCGCCCCAAAATTCGGGAAATCACATAAGAAGAGGCCGAATTTTCCTGATCCAACTTCTTCTCCAAGCCTTGGCTCATCGCCAATGGAGATGGGATATGAGCATGATGCACAGAATCAGAAGAAGGCAATCTTTGATGAACTTTTCACTATGCACTTTTTGTCATTTTAAGGACAGTGTAATTGTATCCCTCGTCTATGAAAGATCCCCAAGAGCTAGATTTGTTTTTCAACATGAGTTTAGACACGAGAGCGGTCATGGTGAGAATGATTCGCGATGGCCGCATGGAGGCCACATGGAAACATCCACACTGTTGTTGACCTCTTACTTGTTGTTTAAAACACTCCAAACACTATCCTTTTTCTTTATGTCCTTTTGAAAATTATTTATGGGGTATCAGTTATTTTGCGACTTGATGACAACCAATAATTTGTTTTTGTTTTGGAATGCTAACTATGTTTGCAAGCTTAATTTGATTCATTTACGTGGTTTCCAAGTTCGATAGTTAGTATTTATATAGTTTGTGTTACACATTCTAGATGGTCGACTCATCTTACCCTTGTTTCAATGAGAAGGTGCAACGGGGTAATTGGGCAACAACAGTGGATAAATAGTGTTATGCCATGTTGTTCCACATGTGCTGTCCCCAGAGAGATTTTGGTGACCTTGAAAGTATAGCAAATAGAATGTCGAACAATTGTAACACCAACTACACTGCAAATGATGTGCGTAATCGTATAATAAGGCTTCATGACTTGTACGACATCTTTGTGTTGTTCACTGAACAACCAAGGGTGATACTAAACAGCAGATGGAGTTATGTAGTCGTGACCCCAGAATACTACGAACATATTAGAGATGAGATATGTTACAAATGTAGCATACATCACTTGTTTTCCTTTCTTTTTTGCGTCTGTCGGTTTCCAATGACAACTAATAAGTGAACAGTACATCTTTCGTCTCTTAAACGTGTCTTCACTACATCTCATGCGTACATCGTTGTATTTAGGAGGTATCACAACAACGTTACTTCAAGATAAATAGATTTCTCATATATAAACAATGCACGACTGTGTTTGAGGTAGTACACAAAGACCATCCGAGTTTGACGTGTCAATTGTCTTCCTCCTCTTGCTTGGAAGGTTTTGAGAAACGCCGCAGACATAGATTTATTACATTATATCTTACAATACCTAAAAATATTATGTATTGTTTTTCGTTTTATTGTTTCATGTTCTCCTTTTTATAGATCGTGATACGAAACCTTAAAATTTTTTAGTTAGTGTCATGCATTGGTACATATGTGTTTTCAACAAATGAAACTTATTCAAGTTAAGCTACGTACATAACACATGTTTCAGTATAGACAGAACAACATAACACTTTTTATAAGTTCAATGTGTAATACTTCGTACAAAGTGTGACAAATATTTTTCAGTACTGATATGGACCAAACACAAACAACCCAAAAATCACGTACTACACAATTTAGAGCGAGATAGATACACTAAACATGAAGACAATCTATCTCCCAAACACACTTTTGCAAAACACAAAAATAAGAAACAATAAAGGGTAGACTGACAGTGCTACTGCCACGGGCAATCGAGTGTGGGCTCGGTTGAAGCAAATGAATATGCACTTGGGACAAATTTTTCTTCTTGTTCATCTGCACTATGAGGAACAAAGCTATTGTAGCCCATTGTTTGATTAATTGAGGCACCAGTTGACCCAGTCTGACTATATATGGATATCTCGCATCCCGTGGCCTTTGAACTACTACCCATATAAAAACTAGAACGCGGTGGTTGTTTTTTACGTGAGATGTCCTTTCGAACAGGGTACGACACCAACCTACTCCTCGTGTAGGCCGTGCATTGTTGGCATCCACATCAATAATTTTGACACATTTATCACGGTTCGTATTCACATGTTGCAGTGTACGTGCACCATTGACAATGCCTTCATCGCCATTGTCAAATAAAATGTGCTATCGTTTGAAGATTGTACAGGGTCATAGGAATCACCTCCTACGGAAGAGGGGTCTAAGGATGTTTATCGACTACAATGCTATTGAAGTTGGTGTATGTGTACCTTTCTGCTCGTTGAAGATGAAATGATCAACTTTGTTTGAAAATGGAGTAATAGTTTGTGCACACTTTTGGGAAAACAAAACATGTGGTACTTTCGTGATGCATTAGTTGTTTTCATGTTTTTGGCAAACTTTGACTCAACTTTGGTGGTACTTTGGCAAACTTTTTGTTTCTCAACTTGAACAACTGATCGATTAGTTACGTGTTTTTTATTGGGTTTTGAGTATAAAAATTAGGTACTAATTATGTTGGTTTTGCTCTTGTTTGGAAATTGAATGAAACTTGTACAGTAGCAGTCGTATTATGTGGATCTGAGACTTTTTTTTTTTATTTTCGATTGCGTGTAACTTTCATGTAGACGTGTTCACCTTTTTTAGGCCATTTGATGCTTATATAAAAATTACATTGCACAAATAAAGGGCAAAGCAAGTTATATAGAATGTTATACATGGCAAAATTAATATAGGTTGTTTTGTTATGTTCAATCATGTGATTTTACGAAAGACGTGTAGTCTTCATACATGTACATATTGCCGAAAACATGACTCAAATGCGGTCTTGAGTGATTTTTGTTACACATGTATGTTATCCATGAAATTTACCTCACAATGAGGCAACTAGTATGTACCCCGGGCAATGCACGGATTGTGATTATATAGTGAAATATTATAAAATGAATGATATGAATCAATAAGTAATAAACATACTATAAATTTTTTAGTCATGAAATGCATATTTTTTTCTTATGTTCTATAAGGTGTTTTTTCGTATGGTTGTGATAGGATATTTATAATCCTCACACTTGTTTTTAAGAGCAACACATATCTCGTAACATTAAGAAATATGGAAAAAATATTTTGGATATTACAAATTGATGTGATAGATACCAAAGACTATGTTTATCTCGTGAAACTGTTAGTTTTATGGCAATCTCAAAATATAAGTTACCATATAGTGTGAATTTTGTGATTATCTTGTTTACTATATCAGTCATTTTATACATTGAATGGAAATGTAATATTTAAAAAAATTTGTTAAGTTTCATAAGTGATTTAGTTTGTCCAGTTTGTAGTTATTGTGATAATATGTATTGACGTGATAAATTATTGTGTTTATCGGTTGGAATGAAAAATATTAAATCAAGATTTATAAAATTATTATTGTAATTAATGGATTTGTGATTATCTATTTATTTGAACATTTTTTTTTTTTTGTGATTTCTATCATTGTAATGTTATACATAGAATGGAAATGTAATCTTTTAATTTATTTTGTTGCAGTCACAAGAGATCTAGCTTGTATAATCTGTAGTTAATGTGATAATTTGTATTGACATGATAAAATATTGTGTTTATCGGTGCAAATGGAATATATTACATTAAAATTTTTAAACAAAATGTATAAATCGGATCTTTACCATAAAAGCAACGATAAATGTGTAAATCAAATATTTACCAAAAAAATAGCGAAAAAATGTTACCAAGTAATTGTGTATCGGAATTTCACCATAATCAAAACCAAAATAAAAACTGATTTTCATTTCGAAATGCAAAACAAAAATATGGTAACAGATTTGATAAAATAACACTACCTATACCATAACAAAATCTGAATTTCAATAAAAAGATATATGGGATGCAATTAATGTAGTGATTGGGAATAATTAAAACGTGTTTTCAGATTACTTTTTCTAGTATGTAATTAATGCATTATGGCGGGAAAAGGTTACTAAATGATTTAAGGTAATTCTTATTTTTTATATATAGATATAGATCTCACTTTTTCTTGCTTTGTGTATTGTTAATAACTCCATCGCTCCCTTGGATTTGTTCACTTTTTTTTTCTCATATATATTATATTTTGTGTATGCATTTGTGTGTACGATGTGTGAAATATCAAAACAACGATCATATTTTTTATGCAAAGCGAATAATGTAAGGCAACGGAATGTTGAATTTGAAAATGAAATGTTATCGAGGATATTAATAGAATATGTACAGTTTTTGTATATTGTATTTTTTACCCTCAAGACTTGTATTATTTACACATTTGTACATTCATTCTAATCATTATCTAAGTTAAGAAAACCATATATAGTTCTTTGTTTTTCTCTCTCAATGATGTGATGTTGCTACTCTGTTAGATATCAATTATTCATAAAAGTTAATGGTTTACAAATCAGTGATCAGACGTTGAGGATGAGTTTTTTTTCGAAACGATAGAGGTATTATATATCAAAACGCACAACTGTGCAAAAAAAGCAGCCCAAGGCTGAATATTACAACCAGGATCGCTCCACCGCTAGAATAGAGAACACACTACACACATCTAAAAGACACCAACACAACTAGGATCGCTCCACACGGGAGAATAGGATCGGCCCACACAGGGTAATCAGCACAGAGGCCAACGGTCCAGACCAAAGAGACAATATAAAAACACTCATGCAAAGAGCCCAGACAAAAAACACTTAACTAAACAGACTCAAGCAACAACAAAAACAAACTAAATAAAACGGGAACCCTTCCCACAGCAGAAACCACGTCGAGCAGAACAGCGGCAAAGATTTGGCCCAAGATCCAGACCCAGAAACTACAAGAGAACGCCTAACTGAAACAAGATCCGGTGGACCTAACCTTCATCCAGACGAACAATTCCACCTGCACCCGGAGAACAAGACACCAGACCAACAGCCCAGCCCAGCCCGACCCAGTCCGTAGCAACTCAGACCAGCCCAGACCAGCCCAAAGAAGCCTGGCCCAGTCCAGCCAGCACAGAAGCTCCGCCAAACGAACTCCGGAGACCGCGACTCCAAAGCCCCACACTCACCCGATCGGCGACCATAAGGCCAAGAATCTGCATCCACCTTGCAATCGCTGACCACCAACTCCGCACCAGAACCGGGAGAGCCAAATGGCTGGAATCCTAACCCCACCCCAAACCCTAAATCGAGAAATTGGGGTCGCAGCTCACATCGAGAGAGCAC